CTGTAGCGTCAGGCCCTTACACCCACCCCTCCGTCGTTTCACTGCGGGCGCGCGTTCAACGCCCGCCGCTCTCGCCCACCGCTGAAGCAGCCGCCAGCGTCCGGCCCGCCGGCCGAGGGCGCCAGCGCTAGTGGCAGGTGGCGCCAGGTGACGAGGTCAGCGCTGCTGGCGTGGCCCCAGGACAGACCCCACGCCCAGGTGGCCGCAGGGGGAGCCAGATACTGATAGAACCTAAATTGGCATGGTATGGGACGTCGCCATGTGCCGGGGCTTACAATTTGTGGTTACTGCTATGTTTTGAGTTGTTGCTGTTCCTGATGGGGTGGCATGTTTGTAGTTCGACTGGAATACTTGACTGGCGAGTGAGCCTGTGACACCGGCGCCAGGGTGTACAAGCAAATACTGCAGTATGCTGCCCAGCCGAGTGCCCGGTTGCTGGCCCGCCCTGAGAACCAAAACGCAGCACCTACAGGTGGTAGCGGCCCCGCCAGAACAGGGGCCCATTCGGATCATTGACCTGGGCGCGGCGGGCATGGGGAGGCACTTGCTGGGTAGAAACCAAAAAATTGCGCAGCAATGTGCTGGACCCATGAGGGTGATTGGGCCCAGTCTGGCTCTAGCTGGTGCCAATTCGGGCACGGCAGCTGCTGCGTGGCGCCCGCCACGGGTCTCGGTGCGGCAAGCCGCTCGCCCGGCTGCTGCCTCTGCTTGTATCCGCCCAGGAGGGAAACACTGCACGCCTCCCTGAGTTTGGCCACTGGAGACCATGCCCCTCTCCGTCTGCCCTCCCTCTCTTACACACATACACAATCCACACAGCCCCGCACAAAAACACTGTCAATCAGTGTGGACTAATGAGTGCCACCGTCGCGTCAAGCAGTCGAAGCTACGCGTCGCTCGCCCAGTGCCCACCCAGCCCGCCGCCGGCGCGACGTGGAAGATGGGGCGACCGGCCGCTCGCGCGGCGGCGCGTAGGAACTTGCTCGACGGTTGCATGACGTCACCACCGCCCATACTCGCGATCGGCGGCGGGTTGGGGCCGGTGCTGCACCGTCGAGCTGTGACGCTGCCACTGCAGGCTCTCACGTGCGGCGCAGATGATCACAAGGGCAACGAGATCGTCAGGGCGTGCGCGTGCGTTTTGATACATTCGTACCAAAACGCATTTTCGGAAGATCCGGCAGGTGGACGAGTGGAACAGGACAAGTTGCGTAAAAAGTGTTGAACGCGAGAGTCTGCACCCATCACACTCATCGTACAGTGACGTGCGGCTGCACGACATATAGCCATCGCATGCGCCCCTATCTGCCTGCACACAGGACGCTGCATCGACGACGCACGCGTTCATCACTGGGCAGAAATGGCGGTTGCTTGCGAGCTGCGCCGCAGTTGGCATTTTTGCCACGCCTTCCAAGGCCTGTTCTTCAGCTGTGTGTAGCCGCTGTCAGCCTCTCAACTTCCATTGTTGCCGGGCGCTGCCAAGCGCCGCCAGCTGCGGCTGGCCTGCAGCGCTGGGCTGTGGCGGTGTGCTGCCTGCTGTGGTTGTGTGCTCCTGCAGCCACCAGCCTGTGTGTTACCGCGCAGGACAGTGCTTGGGCTGCGTGAGCCGAGAAAAGAAAGATGTT